TCCGCGCCCGTCCGACTCCAGCGCTGCCGGGGAGGGGGGGCGCGGGCTAGCCAGGCGGGGAGGGAAAAGGCAACCCCAAACGCGTCCCCTCAGCAGCTGCTCCGTGTCGGTGGGCGCCAACGAGGGCAGCGGACGCCCTGACGGCCAACCTGGACACGGAAGGAGCCCCGAGAGAGAACAAAACGACGAACTCATTTGAACAGACCAGCCTCCTCGGGCTGTACCGGCGCTGGGAACTTGCACCAGAACTTGGAAATGTTACTTTTGTTTTACTACAATTCCCACAATGTGTTCCCCCCCCCGCACCAAAGACTATGCCGGCTGGGGATTCTGGGAGTTGTGGTCCAAGAAGTAACGCTCCCAAGCTGGAGGGGGGCCACAATCCGACACCCCGCCGGGAGAGGAGAGCAACCAAGAGGGTCCTCTCCAGCCACTCCGCTAAGAAAAGCCGGCGAAGCGCCCACAAGAAGCACCCCCTGCCCCTGCCGCTCGGCGGGCAGCCCCGACCAACTCACTCACCGATGGAGACGAGCTTGATGTTCTCCCGCTCGAGGAACTCGAGCGCCACCGAGACGTTCTCGAGCTGCATCTGCCGGAAGGTGGGTCGCTGGTGATACTTGCGGTACATGCGCTTCTGGCTGAGCACCTCCAGCAGGGCGATGAGGCGCAGCCCGTCGCTCAGGTCGAACTGCAGGTTGCCGATGCGCTTGTTCACGCAGCGGAGGTGCTCGTTGCACCAGCGGGTGAACGTGTTCTGCTGGATCCGCTTCCACGGCGCGTCCTCCGCCAGGTCTTTCTCGGTCACCGGCATGGCTGCGCCGTCCGCCTCGAGGTCTCTACGGCCCAAGGGACGCTGGTGCGGGTCTTTCGGACGCCGAGCCTGGAAGCCGGAGCTCTGCTCGCTGCTACCGCTGCTGGTCTCGCTGCCGCTCCAGTCACTGAGAGCCGTCTGGCCCCGCGCCTGCGTGTTCATGCCGAGGCCGCCCCGCCTTCTCGTCCTGGCAAGCGGGGACACAGACAGATCAACCAACCAACCAACCAACTCGCCCGCCTAAGCTGGCTGGCTCCCTCCCTTCTGCTGCTGCTGCTGGGTCACAGCCAAGCACAAGCGGTGAAACCTACCCAAGGGGAGAGAACAGCGCCGTTAGCTTAGCAACCCCACTCCGGTAAAGCTTCAACCAATTCTCTCCCTAACTCACGCCATTCACACGTGCTCGCTGACAGCGAGTACTGCGCGCCCCTTTTACCGGGGAAGGTTAAATATCCCCCCCTCCAAGTACGCGATTGGACCCACGCCAGAAAGTGGGCGGAGCCCTCAGGATAGCGCTGCCGGCGGGGGGGGTAGGAAGGCGGGAAAGCACTGCCCCCTATCTGGATATTTGAGTGATCCAACTTGGTTTAATGGTTTAAATACAACATGTTCTGAATAAGAAGCTGGGACACGAATAAGAAGTGAATAAGAAGCTGGATGTCGAATAAGAAGTGAATAAGAAGCTGGCCGAATAAGAAGCTAACTTCAGCCTCGTCGTTTTCCCTTGGTCTAAAACTGTACCGTATCATAACATTAACGCGTCTAAATACCCGATCTGCGCCTTGTTGATCCAGTTGTGTTTACTGCCTTTTGGGGAAGCCAACACGTTTTGCTCTCGCAGACAGCACCAAATGGCACCACCTGTTTTGGTTCCAAGTTAATCTGTGGAGAGGAGACTTATTTTTGTGTCTGAAGAAGGTACCACTACGTTTATTTTTTTATTTTTGTTTTGGCCTGACATTATTTTGGAACGAGAGGCAGAAACCTCACAACCTCTTCAATAATAATCCAAAAATAATGAAGTAAACGTTATTTCCTACTCACTCACCATGAAGGTGTTCTTCCCCTTCCTGCACTTCCAAGGGAAATGCAGAGAGTGCTCAGTATGTGGTCGCTCCCAGACTGGAACTCCTTATTAAAAGAGGCCAATTTGTCTCAGTCGTTTTTGCTGTCTTAAGGTAGGCTTTTAGGCCACTGAACCCTTGTACAGAAAGCTACAGTACTTACCGTATTTTCATTGGGTGCTGTTTTCTACAGCAATGTGTTTTAAACTATTTTTAACAATTTTTAAATGCTTTGATTTGCATCTTCAAATTTCATCAACTATTTGGTATTATTTCTTCTAGTTTTTCCAAAAATTCAATCTTCCTGAAGCCACTCTGAGTTCCTCTAGGGAGAAAGAAGGGATATCAGTCCAAGAAATAAAAACATCTCATGGTGCAAACAAAACGCCTGGGGCATCTGACTTACTCCACCTAATAGAAGGGCTGCCTCTGTTCTCCAGGTCTCTTTTCCCCTCCCTTCAAATTAGCCACATGTAAAACAGAGTATTTGGGTGCATAATATTACATGAAACAACAGTAATAACATGCTGTCAAGTCAGTCTTGATTTATGATGACCCTTTGCAGGATTCCAGGTACAATTTCATTTATTTATTTATTTGATTTGATTTGATTTGATTTGTATCCCACCCATCTGGTCTATGCAACCACTCTAGGCGGTATTCAAAAATATTCAAAAACACAGAGTTCTAACTCCTGTTCTCTGAAGATGCTGGCCACAGACACTGGTGAAACATTAGGAAGAAAAACCTCCAGAACACGGCCAAACAGCCCAAAAACCTACAACAGCCATCAGATCCCAGCCGTGAAAGCCTTCGAGAATATATTCAAAAGAGGCGCACCATTTCTTTCTTCTGGGAGCATAGAGCTTACTCAAGGCTGCACAGTCTGTCTTTGATTCCCATGGGGGATCAAACTCCCAACCTCTGGCTCTGCAGCCAGATACCAGCATGTTGAAGCCTAGAAAATCTAATATTATGATACAAACTTATTATTTAGTAGCCTTTTACCATTTTTGCTATAACAGACTACCCCTTTTTCTAAACAAGTGTCTTCCCCTAAGGGCAGTCTGTCATGGGGGGTGGGGGGCTGCATCTACTTAAATTACTTTAGTCATTTGTCATGAGAAGCCCATGGCCCCTCTTCTCCTCCAAAATATTTAGTTTCCTTTCTTGCAGTCTCGGGTTGGTTCTTTGAAAGCTAGACAACAGAAAAGAGGAGTGTTGCCTATTGATGTATCCGGTTATCTTCTCAAAGTCTCTACAGAATGAGAAGCAACAAGCCACCTTCATTTGCCTTTTCCTCATCATCACTGAATGGTGTGTAATAGATTTAGCTGTGGGCTATTGTTTCTTCTATTTTCATTTTCCACTAAACGTTCTGAGCCTGAAGAGCAATCTTGTTGCTGTTATATGCTGTCAACTCAGAACCAATTTACAGCAGCCCTAATAGGGCTTTCAAGGTAAGTGAGATATATTTAAGGAGTGATTTTAATAGTTCTACATCTCCAGGATTTTTTTTCCATGACTGGGTGAGAATTTGAACCTAGACCTCCTGAGTCCGAGTGCGTTTCTTTATCCACTACACTGGATAGCCTGGACTTCCAGAGGGAATGTAGATCTCCCTAACAATGTAAGGGGCTGATGTTTTCCCCTTTACTTTCATGTTTGCTTGCAATAGAGGCTAAAAGCTCTGGAGCCTTACTAGAGGAAAAAAGTGGCAACTACAGACATGCTTCCCTAACAGTCATAATAATGGAAGATTGCATTTTAGGCTGTACTCACATAGCATGATAGATTGATTTTTAATGTAAATTGACTTAAGGTCCATTTCAGCAGAAGAGCAGTCTAGAAAACAGAGGGAAGAGAAGATAGATCTGGGGTGTTCTGCAATAAATCAACAAGGATTTATTTTGCTCTCTTTTTCACATGCTCATGCATGCCTCTTTTTTTAAAAAAGTGCCAGCAAAATAACTCATACTGTTGATTATTGTTTTGGAAATAACCAGGAGGAGGCTTTTGTGTGAAAGAATTGTATGAGCTTAATTCAGTTCTGGTATGCAGTGGGGACTTCTGCTATGGCTTCTTTAAGTCTGTCTGGCCTCAGATGATGGATCTCAGGTGGACCTAAATTAGAAATAAGTGCCACTGATGTTGATGTAATTAAGAGCTGGTGTTACCTGACTCATAATATGGTAATCTGTATATTGTTTTTCTGTGGATTATTCTCATATAGATTCCTCCAGGAATATTTAGGAGTGGCCTAAAAGCCCTATAAGACCTACAGAGACATGATATTGTTGTAGCTTCAAGAGGTTCACTACACAGAAACAGCTTGACACAGGGCAGGAGTTAACACCTGAAGAAGCCCAAGAAACTCTTTAAAAATCATGGTTTTTGTAAATACATATCAAAGAACAGTAAATGTTTATGGAGAAACAGTTAAGGAGGATAGTCTTCAGTAGACTTTGAATGACTACTGCTCCTTTTTATTATTCACCGAGTTATTTTAAGAAGGCATAAACAACATATGGAAAATGTGTCTTATGGGAGCCTGCCTAAGAGTTTGAAATCCAGCATACAGTTAAAGGCAACCAAAAACATTAAATAACAGTGCTCTCAAACTGAGAGGAATAACTAATCAATAAGCAGGAAACATTAACAGCTGAAAATGCCCAGACGTACAAGAGTACACTGTGGCATTGACAGGAATACACTCTTGGTGCCAAGCTTATCTCCTTCAGGAAAGAGAAGTCCCACCAAAAGGAAAGCCACCCTTTTGTTCATGCCTAAGATGTGCCTCCAGAAGAAAGAGCTCCTGTGAGCATCTTTATACTTACTTTGGTCAGTGATTACTCATGTGGTGATTAGCCACGTCTGTGTAGGCTCGCTCAGTATTACACAAGGCAGGGCAGGCTTACATTTTAAAAATAATTAATTATAGAGTTCCAAATTCTGTAAATTCAGTGTGTGTGTTTTTTAAATCTTTGTTTTCTCAAAAATAATTGAGAATTATTACAATTCAGAGAAATGAAGCTACTTAAAGGGGCACACTAAAAACTCTTGAAGCTACTTAAAGGGGCACACTAAAAACTCATGTGCCAAGGAGGCACCGTGGGGAATTGAACTCCCAATCTCTAAACCACTGAGCTATTTAGCAGTTCTCTGTTCATGAACAGGATAATGTGCCAACAGAGCTCCCTTTTCACGGAGGATGCTTCTGATCAGAAAGGAAATGCTTAGAGTGAGACTGAAAATGAAGACATCCTTTTATGCATTTGTTCGTTTAAGGGAGAATAAGACTGAAAATCATCAGGACCATGGAGGAAGCGGAAAAGGGGGGGCACTGGCCCTCTCAATGATATTCTAGGCCCTTCCTTTTGGTAAACACAGTAACCCTCTGACCTTTTTTACTTGTGGAAATATATGAGCTGCAGGCAATTTCTGCCCAAAGACTCACAATGACATTCAAATATATTAGGCTACCCGTATTTATGCTCTGGCTGTTCTTCAGTTATTTCTTGCCCCTTGGGCCCCTCACCACAAAAATTCTGGCTATGAGCCTGATCTTTCCTGAGAAAGATTTGCAGGTTATTTCTACATGTGGATTTATTGGTAAAGGCGACTGGACTGTAAAATCATGAACTTGAGTCCTTGTTCAGCCAGACACTTCCTGTGTGACGCTGGGTTAGTCAATAAAGGACTTGCTTCTATCTTTTGTGTAGCTGCCATCTGCTATGGGTAAAATTGACATACAGCCCATGATAAAGGGCACATAGGACAGGACTGATGACTAAATGTGCTATAAGTATGCAGTTTTGTGGCACACAGTTGATGTTATTTTAGATTCCAGGAGGAAGCATCAAGGTCTTGTGTGTGTGTGTGTGTGTGTGTCTACAACTCCTGGAAGCCCTTCCCTGAAGAGAATGTCATAGTTGGACAATACTTTTCCTGTCATCTTGTGAGGGAGGAACAGATCATTGTATTTTCTAGCCAACCATTGAAATGCTTACATGAAGAGCATGGTGTGCAAAGTGCCCTCTGGTCCCCTGCCAAGACCTAGGATTTTATGGAGATGAAAAGGAGAACCAAACAACCATGGCTACAAAATGCCTCAGGTCACTAGCAGAAGCAACCAGTGGGAGACTGTGGATATTTCACTCTTGGTGCCATTTTTCAAAGGACATTTATGTAACTAAGGAAACTGTGGCCAGCTGTAGCTGCTTGTAGTTGCCAGATTATGGCAGCAGAAATAAACATCTGGATATGTACAACACTGAAATAGCAAGAAAAACACAATATTTTCACAGTAAACGAGCATAAATGAGCTATAGCTTTGTGCAAGAGTCCCTTTTAAATGGTACTG